GTATTCTTTTTTTTATATTTTTATAAAACCACCTTTATCTCTTCAAATTTTAGATAGTTTTTTTAAGGTCTTTGGGAATATCTAAATTTTTAGTAACACATTACGAGTAATCTAGAAACAATTATAAATATTATTGAAAAAGCAAAAGTCTAGGAAAATTGTATGTTATATATTTTACATAGAAATTCTTACCTTTAATTCCATAATAAATAAAAGATACTTAATAGTGATGATAAAATAGACTATGTCTAAAGGATTGCAAAACTAAAATTCACATCACCTATAAGAAATTCTAGTGTTTTAAAAAATCTGACAGTCACCAAAATTCAGTATCTGAATATATAACGCTTAATTAAAATGTTCCCATGAATAAAAAGACACAAAACTTGAAATCAAGGATCCATAGTGCTCATGGTATCAACTAAACCCATTTTTTGAGATATGGAAAAAAAAACAGTAACTTTGTTTACATTTACAGTTGTATGTTCCAGCTGTCTAACAATTTGACTTTAAACTCTTAAATATCATTTATAGCGGGCTGGCTAGTTAGCTATGTTGGTTAGAGTGCAGAGTAGCAACACCAAGGTCAAAGGTTCATATCTCTGTACTGGCCAACCACCAAAAAAGAAGTTTAAATAAGTAAGTAAATAAATAAATAAATATCATTTATAGAGAAAAAGACTCAGAGATGGACCATCCACTTCCTTTTCCCACCTTATCAATGTTTTTATGGAGACTTAAAAAATGTTTGGAAAAAAACACGGTGCTTAGTGACAGACTGAACAATGCCACTGATTTTCTAGGAGTTATATCATAACTGAACGTGGTTGTATTTAGGTCTATAGTAGGTGCCTTAAGAATGTCCCATTCACAGAGTTTCTAACACACCTATCTCTGAGAAAGTATGACACCACTCTGCCAAGGTAGGGTTGAGCTTAGATAACGAAGTAAAAATAACCAAATGCACAGAGCTAGCATAAGGCTATAAACCACATGTATATAACTTTTAAATGGCTTGCCACTGTATACAGGATAAAATGTAAGAACATTAGTTTGGTATTAAAGACCTTCCATAATCTAGCTTATCTATTTATTCCCCATCTCCTTCTGGTCGTGATATAAAGCCTCTGCTTCAACTAGGTTATATCCAAAGTATACCTGTTGCATCTTTACTCTAAAAATCTCAGCTCTTAGAATACTTCCCTAGTCTACTCTTTCTAAATCATTCCTATTCATTTCTTACTACCTGTCTCCTCCTCTTCTGAGCTCTTTCCCAATCTCTCTAGCCCACAATAATTTCCCCTTCCTCTGAACTTCAACCATTAAATATTCAACATTTGATACTTCTCATATACTATTTTGACTTCTTTGTGTATAATCATATCTTTTCTCAGGCATGGAATAAGGGGGTGGGGTGCTGGGGAAGCGGTAAGAGAAGAATACCCATCAAAGAGCTGAGATTCCAAAGTTCTAGACCCTGCTCTGAGACCATATTAGAAGTTCTTGGATGAAATCACTTCACCCTATATATAAATGAGGGCAAGGGATTCAATCTAGGATCTTTGATGACAAGCATTGTTTTTGAGAATTATTTGTATCTTCCATAGTGCCCCAGATATTATTTTACATGGTAATACAAAAAATTTATAAGTTTTTGGATAATGTAGTCTGAGGAATGAGGCCAAATTATCACACTTGACCAAAGCAAGGACTTTCAAGCTAGGAGATAAAGACTGATAACAAATGAAATAGGAAATAGTCAAGGAAGAAATCTGGGAGAGTTCATAAAAAAAATAAATTATTATTTTTTTTATTTTTCCTTTTTTGTCTTTTTTCATGTCCGGCAATGGATCGCAACCCTCAGTGTCGCGCCCGTATCCTCCCTACCCCCCTTCCTACTTCTAAACCTCAGTTCTCCTTTTGAAAGTTCAATGTATTATTGTGAATGCTATATCTTTCTTTCTTTTATTTACATGTTTATTATTTTAGCTCCCACTAAAGAACATATGGTATTTCTTTCTGTGTTTGGCTTATTTCACCTAATATGATTTTCCCTAAGTTTATCCATGTTGCTGTGAATGGCAATATTTCATTCTTTTTAATGGCAAAGTAATATTCTATTTTGCATATATACCACATTTTCCTTATTGAGCTGTCTGATGATGGACATTTAGGTTGGTTCCAACTCTAGGCTATTATAAATAGAGCTGCGATAAACATGGAGGTGCAGGTATCTCTTCAACATAATGCTTTCCATTCCTTTGGATATATACCCAGCAGTGGAATTGCTGGATCATATGGCAGTTCTATCTGAAGTTGTTTAAAGAATCTCCATACCGTTTTCCATAATGGCTGCACCAACTTACAGTCCCACCAACAGTATAGGATGGCTCCCCTTTCACCACATCCTCACCAGCATTTGTTGTTCTGTCTTTTTGATAATAGCCAGCCTAACTGGGGTGAGATGGTATCTTAATGTGATTTTGATTTGCATTTCCCTGATGCAGATTAATGTTGAACATTTTCTCATGTGTCTGTTGGTCTTTGTATATCTTCCTTTGAGAAATGCCCATTCAGTTCCTTTGCCCATCTTTTTTAATCAGGTTATTTTTGGTTTTTTACTGTTAAAGTTGTTTGAGTTCCTTGTACATTCTGGATATTAATCCTTTGTCAGTTGCATAGTCTGCAAATATTTCCTCCCACTCTACAGGTTGTCTTTTTGCTGTTGTATCTTTTGCTGTGCAGAAGCTTTATAGTTTGACATAATCCAATTCATTTATTTTTATTTTTGTTGTCTGTGCTTTGGGGTCATGTTCACAAAGTCTTTGCCCAGTCCAAAATCCTGAAGTGTTTCCCCTGTGTTTTCTTTTAGGAGTCTTATGGTTTCAGGTCTTATATTTAAGTCTTTAGTCCATTTTGAGTAGATTTTGATATATGGTGAGAGGTACAGTTCTAGTTTCATTCTTCTACATAGGGATGGTCCACTTTTCCCAGCACCATTTATTGAAGAGGCAGTCTTTTCCCAATGTATGTTCTTGTTGCCTCTGTCAAAGATCAGTTGGCTGGATGTGAGTTGATTTCTGAGTTCTCTATTGTGTTCTGTTTGTCTGAGTGTCTGTCTTTATGCCAATACCATGCTGTTTTGGTTACTACAGCTTTGTAGTATAGTTTGAAGTCAGATAGTGTTATGCTTCCAGCCCTTTTTTTTTGCTAAAGATTGCTTTGGCTATTCAGGGTCTTTTGTTGTTCTATGTGAACATTAGGATTGTTTTTTCTATTTCTGTGAAGAATGTCATTGGGATTTTGATGGGAATTGCACTGAATCTGTAGATCGCTTTGGGTAGTATGGACATTTTCACAATGTTAATTCTTCCAATCCAAAAGCAAGGAACGTCTTTCCACCTTTTTGTGTCCTCTTTAATTTCTTTCGACACTGACTTGTAGTTCTTGTTGTAGAGATCTTTCACCTCCTTGGTTAACTTGATTCCTAGGTTACTTATTTTTTGTGTGTGATTACTGTAAATGGGTTTGCTTTCTTGATTTCTTCTTCTGCTAGTTTGTTGTTGGAGTTTAAAAGCACTACAGATTTCTGTGGCTGATTTTGTATTCTGCAACTTTACTAAAATTGTTTATCAATTCTAAGAGTTTTTTTGTAGAGATTTTGAGATGTTCTATAAATAGGATCATGTCATTTGCAAACAGGGTCAATTTGCCAGCCATATAATTATTTAACAGCAGGGGTAAGATTAGGACCTGGGTCACTCCATTACCTAGTTTATCTCTTCTCTCTACTACATAGTACCAATTCACATGTTTTTTCCTCCTACAAGTTACTTTTCTATACAAGTACTATAAAACTTTAAACTCTTTTAAAAGTAAAGTTGTTAAATGATATATTCTAAGTTACTTTAAATATTATATCACGCACAGAATTTAACAAAATTTAAGGTTTTAGTAAATAATTGCAAAATCATACCCAAGTACTAAAATATGCAAAACAAAATGCCCAATTTGACATCCTTCTTCTAAATTCTATCCTTTGGTGTTTCCATATTAATACAATCAATATTAATTATTTCCAAAATCTACTTAAAAAGTTTTTAGGAGCTGGCCCTGGAATTATAAATTACTCCATAGTTGAGTTATAAAATATCTTCTTGTCAACTCTATAGCAGGTCAATGTATGAACAGCTGAAAAAGCACTTCCCCCAAATTAGGACCTTTCTCAAGCTTCTTGACATTCAGAACCACAGTAACCAATAACACAATTTCTAAGGTTGCCGTACCAATGGAAGTAAAATATCTCTGGTACTTTTCCAAGTACTAACAACCTGATCAAGATCAACTACTTTATCTGTCTTCCATCTCAGAATTTTCCTTCCCCTCTTCTCCCAAAACGATTAAAGAAAACTATATTTTTGACTATTGCATAAACTGTCACATACTATAAATCAAATCTTTATCACTGAATTGAAATTACAAGTACGAACTTTGTAAGATAAATTTAAATATTCATCAAACAAAAGGTTTAAGCCTCAAAAAAAAGTTTAAAACAAAGATGCTAACAAATACATTTTAGGGTGATTTTTTAATGCTCATAAGTTTACATATTGCTGATTACATGCAATAAAATATTAGAAATCAAGGAGCCACATTCATTCACAGGTAGCAAAAATGATAAACTTACTGTATTCCAGGAGAATTTAGGAGGGAAGATTAAATGACTCCAGATATGTTACTAATAAATACTTGAAAGAACTGCTTATTCAGACCTAAGAAATAAATCATCCTCTATCCTATCTTCCCAAAGTTCATAAAATTTATCTGTTTATACCACGCTATCTTTATCTAGTAAAATAAAGATTAAATGGTATATAAAGAAAAACAATATCTTGCATACCTCCAAAGAGATATCCAAATAGAACTCTGTTTCCAATCCAAGTACCTACCAAGAAGGGCCCATACGGTTAAGTCAATACACATAAGAAACAAACACTCACCAGAATAGCTCGAAACACAGTAGAACCAATTCCTTCTGCCACCTCATACTCTCCCTTCTCATTAGGACGTGTGAAGTTATGTTCTCGGCCAGATCCAAACATCCTATGATAGCAAATAATTGAGAAATATATTGATATGATACTTCCTTTAAAAGGGAAAATCAATTTCATGTACAAAAGTAAAAAGGAATTGTAATTTAAGTGTTAAATAACATCATTAAATTAGTTCAAGGATTTTTATCAGAAATTTACTCTGGCAAACATTAAAAATAAAGAAATATTAAAACATTTTCTCTTTTTTTGTTTGGCAGGTGGCCAGTGCTGGGACCCAAACCCTTGACGTTGGTGTTATTAATACTGTGCTCTAACCAACAGAGCTACCTGGCCAACCCTTAAAAATATTTTCTTTTTGATAGAAGGGAACAGTAGTACAGATTCCCTATAAGCAATAATAAAACTAAATGACAAAATTCAGAAGCTAAAGAACTTTCCAACCCCTACTCTTGAGAAAAACAAACAATAACAATCAATCTAGGGGAAAAGGTAATTTTTATACTAAGCTTTCCAGACAGAAAAATAAAGAAAAAAGGGCAACCACGTTATCTGTACCTTTTCCTTAAAACTGCTATTTTCATTTTAAAGTTAATGCTATAATTCAGCATATACAGCAAGCAAAACTGGGAATAAAGTAAGATAAGACAAGCAAGTCAGGTTGCTTTATATTTTACTATCTTAACCATAAACATAAGAAATCCTGCTCTAAATTCCCAGACTTGCATATTAGAACAGAAAAACAAGCAATCAAATGCTGAGATAGATGGGAATAAAGTGAAGAGAATAAAATGCTTTTTTCTTAAATGAGTAAATATCAATTTATTATATTAGAAAAATACAAATGAATTTATGTTTCTTCAAGTCATGTTGTTGGCTCTGTCATAGTAACGATTTAGAGAAGGGGCAATTTGCAAAATATGTTCTTTGCAATGAAAAACTGAATGCAGTACTCTCAAGAAAATTGAAAGCTGAGGGCCAGCCCGGTGGCGCACTGGATAGTGCACTGCTTGGGAAGCGCGGCGGCGCTCCCGCCCGAGGGTTCAGATCCCACATACAGACCGGTTCCCGCTCACTGGCCGAGTGAGGCACGGGAGCAACACCGAGGGTTGCGATCCCGTTGCCGGTCCCCGGTCCGGTACGGGGGCAACACTGAGGGTTGCGATCTGTTGCCGGACACGGAAAAAGACAAAAGACAAAAAAAAAAAGAAAATTGAAAGCTGAATCTCTGAATTTGAGGGTACCACTATTCTCAAAGTAAATACAGTTGAACAAAGTATTCTATACTCAACAGTTCCCTAATGTAAGTAGTTTCCTCTTTTGTCGTAATACAGAAATCTATGAACAAGGCTTTTTTATTTTGAAGTTTCCAAAAGAATGCCAACTGCTTTTTACAGTTCCCATGAATATTAATTTTCATCCCCAAAGATATGCTTTAGTCCACCAACATGAAAAGAATCCTTCACTGATAGGGAGGAAAAATAAAAAGAAAACAGTCTTTCAGGAATCAAATGTCGTGCAATACTTGAACTTCTTACAAAAGGAAAAAGCTATTCTTTTCAAACTGACATGGACACTCAAAAAAAGCCACTTTTTAAAAAAAGAAAATGCAGCCCAACAACTAAAGCAAAATCCCACATATCTAATTTTTTACTGTTCCTATAAATCTTACATAAAAATACAAAGTATTAACAGTGTCAAGTCATTCTCCTACTGGATTCAATAATCTTCCCGTATGATACTAAAAATACATAAAAGCCTAGTGTGTTTTTTTTCTCATGGATAAAAAGTCTAGTGTCAATGTCAAAAGAAAATATTTGGCTATTCAGAATGTATACAGTATCACAGTTCCAGCACTTATTCTGACACACTGACAAATCTCACACACACACACACACACACACACGCACACGCCATATGCAATCTAGAAAAATACCACAAGTTTTTACCTCAGGTAAACTTCTACTTCATATGTATGCCCCTTCATTTTATATCAACATGAACATATATGATACTGATTTTACAATTAAAAGGTATTTGATCCTAGTTTTGGACATATTAAAAATTCAAGTCTATATTGTCTATGTCTTTTTTAGATTGTGATTCCTATAACTGCAAACTTTAAATTGATTTATAACTCTGGACCAGAACAAATCAGAAGATGTCGACTCTTATTATCTCCTTCATTCTACTAACTACCTGTTAATGTCATTCCTTTTTTTAAAAAAAAAATATCTACATCAAACTGACAAGTCTTGTTGACTTTACAGATAAGCAAACTGGTTTTTTTTCCTTTAAACAATGCTGATAACCTTCTATATTTCGTGACTGAATTTGAGGACCCAAGTGCAGGAAACATTATCACTGCTAAATTCACGTGATTAGATTCAATCCATGGTTTCAATCTGTAGAGATCTTTTAGTATCCTGGTTTCAATCACTAATATATTTGATGTTTCCAGTGATACTGCAAAGAATGTTAGAAATAAAGCCAAGTTCATGCTCTTACTCTACCACTTTCTAGCTGGTATTAACTTGGACAAATAATTTAACCTCCAAAGCTCAGTTTTTTCATCTGTAAAACAAAATTGCTACATTACAACAGAGAATTACTGTAAAATTTAAATAAAAAAATAATGGCTGTGAAAGTGCTTTATAATCAGTAATACAAAGAATTGCAATAATACAAACCTGCCCAACATGGTATTTGGCTGTGCAGTAAAAATGGATGGGTCTACAACAAATCTAGTGTTATCCACTATTAGTGTCACTCGTTCTGATGTTCTTAGATTCCGAGCTCCTTCTTTTGCGTTTTCATATACAAACACCATCTCCCCAGATGTCTTACAGCTACCATCTGAACTTGACTGACTACTGTTTCTGCTGCCGTTCCCAGTGCTACTAATGGAACCATTTGGGGATGCCTTTTGAGGACGAGGACTGCTTGGACGAGAAGAACTGTGATCTTTTTCTCGTTCTGAAATAGAGATGTTAAAGTTATGAAAATTTTCTTTAAAACATTCAAGATCCATATATATCTTTTTAAATGTTTAACTTAGAACAGTTGTTTTAAACCACACTTTTTCTGCTTTTTTATTACACATTAATTTTGAAATAAACATTAATTTATTTCCCATAAATAAAACCCCAAACATCAAAATGCTTCCTTTTAAAATCTTTGTAGAATTTTTAAAAGATATATAGCTGACTAATAATGTTGACCCAAACTTAAGATCAAAATTAAAGTAAATTTTACATTATCACTCCACTTAAAAATATATAGAAACCCAAGAAACCAAATATTCTCACAAGTCAAATAAATAAGCTGAACGTTTAGTAAAACATTAATAAGAATACCAATTTAAGCCATCCTTATTACTAAAATGGAAAACAGTATTCTGAGGACACAAAGTAAAAACTTTGGAATCTTCCTGTGTTAATAAGGGCATTCTGAAACCAGCAATTTATCTCACAAAAGAAAAGTCTAAAAGAAAGAAAAGAAAATTCACCGAAGAGAGCAAAAAATATTTATTTTTTCAAATGACTTTTAATTTCTACCAAAGAAAGTGGCTTTAGTAACTAATGATATACTGCTTCTCTCTCATGTCTACTGAATAAAAGCACTGCTATAAATCTTATAGGATCCATAATTATTGTCTACAATTTTCATAGGTAGAAAATATTGTTAAAATTCAGAAAATGTTCTTTAGATGTTCCAATATTCTACAAAGGGGAGAAATACATTAAGATTTTGCAATAAGTTTCATTTAGAGGCTAGATTACTAAGGTTTAAAGGTGACCTAAAAATGTACCTCCATCTTATCAGTTTCATCAGCTTTTGCCAAATTCCTCCATGACTCAAGCTACTTAGAACACTCTGTGCAGCATTCCTGATTATATAATTAGGCTTGCTGAATCTCCAGAGATACCGACACCTCCCTTTTACAGCCTGTTTCTACAATGCTGGTAGCATCCTAAAAGCAAAATTTGCTAAAGTAATAAAATAATTTATTATATCCTGCTATTCTACTTTCAGATACTGAACTTTGCATGTAACAACATTTGTGATTTCTGGCTTCTGGACCTACTTAGATATTGACAACTCTGCATAATTAGACCCTAATATAAATGATTTAGATTTACAACAGACCATCAGAAACTAGCTCATATAATAAGTCAAAGAATTTAATTTGTCCCTTTCCCAATGGAAAATGAAAATCAGCAAGCTCACATTGCTCACCCCTCTGCTTCAGACTGATGCTTTTAGTCACACAATATGTTCCCCTAGGGTAATAATGTTCATTTATAGTGAGTAGGAAGGAGTGAAAAGACCTGAGCTAGCAGCTAAGAAAGTAAAACACTTCACAGACCTTTCCTTGTTCCATTTTTATTATTGAATTTGAAATACTGTCAAAAATCAGAATAAATAACTGCATGATGGTTATTCTAGCTTTCACTTTTTCTTTGTTAGCAAGATTAGCCAAAGATTTCTATCAATAATTCACTACAAACTATTTAAAAATAAACCACTGCTATATATTTCATAAAATAAAAATTAACTTGAAAAATGTGAAAAATGTCAGTTTCAAAAGCTTTTCAAGTTACTTCTTTTATAAGATTGTTTTAGACTCTTAAAAAAATTCATCTTTAAGTTGCACTTAATAAACTTTTTTCACAGCAAGAACCAAGCTCAACTAAAATATAAACAAGTAAATGGATATAAGAAGCTGATTTTACTCTGTTAAGTATTAGGCACAACTGAATGTCACTCGTACTTAAAAAGGTAAATGCACACTTTTAAAAACTACTGCAAAGGTTAGTTGATTTTACATACCAACATGGTGCTGTCGTGTTGGAGAAGTAACATTTCTAATACAAGGAGTGAGTTGAGACTCTGTTCTTTCATGAGATGAATCTCGTGATCTGTCACTTGACCTTCGTCTATCTCTAGATCTCTCATGTCCCCCACTAGCACCATGTAGACTCATTCTGGTGTGGTCAACTCCTCCTTTAGCAACACGTGAGGGAGTACTGGTAAGTTAGAAAAGATAATTAACAATAAAAGTAGAACATAAGATCACAAAACACTTTTTAAAGAAAAATCTGATTAACATAAAACTAATATTTTGAAGTGCAAAAATCATATGCTACTTTCGAGTTCTGAAATCTAAGTTACCTTAAAACTTGTAGATTTTATAAATTGTGGAACAATGTGTCTTTAAAGATTGCATAAAAAAAGGCAGTTTTTTCATGGATGAGTGTAGAGTATGCATAAAGCAAATGGACTTCACAGGACCCGGTTTTCCAAAGCCTTGCAGTTTCAAATATTGACCTTGCAAAGGGAAGGAAATTTTCCCCCTAGTCTCTGTTGTAAGATAAAGAATTGTAACACAGCAAGGTTGCTGGCTCAAAGACAGACAGGTTACTGATTGATATGTAAAGATAATAGGAAATTGCTGTAAAATGCCTGCTAAAATCGAGCTTTTGTTAGTGGATCTACTTAATTGCATTATAGAATGTCACCTTGCTTGTCTTACTGAATGTTACCAGCTTCTATTGTTAAATGTGTTAAACTGTACTTAGAAAAAAATCCCACCTATGTTCTCTTCCTGTAACTTCCTGATCTGGAGAATAAATGTGGGAAGAGAACCCCAATTCGTGGTTAATTTCCCAAATGGAAGGAATGCCTCTCTCTTGAGGGTTCCAGGACATTAACCCCTTTTCAGGGCTTCTCATTGCTCAGAAGAGATGGGCTTTGAGTAATCTTTGGTGGCTCCATCACCCAGGGGAAAAGGGGTGACAAATCCATGGGAGGCAAAGCAACAGATTAGAAAACTAAAGCCCAGAAATGTTAACTGACTTTTGAATTTGTAGTAAAAGTAGTAGTAGTAGTAGTAGTAATGATAGCAGATCACCCAGATAGCCTAAATATTACTCAAACGTTCTCTTGATTTCTTTCATTGTGGGGAAAAACAAAAAGAAAGAACTTTTAGAATTCTTAAAAAACTGAGGTATGAGGCAAAGTAACTGGTATCCCTGCCAAATAAAACAAGTCTACATGCTAACGTCAATCAACTTGCTTTGAGAACTCTTCTCAAAACACTATGATTAAAAAGATTTTTTAAAAAATCATTTCTCTGAAAAACTTAACTACACTATGTAAAGTCAAAGAGTTTTAAAAATGTTTAAAACATCTTATATAGAATAAATTTGTCCACAAGAAGTAAATAACTGAAACTGCTGATTAACTAACATAGTCTAGTTCAGAACAGAATTCAGAATGAATTCTAGGACCAAATTCATTCACATAATTATTTACTAAGTTATTTTACTATGTGCACAGTTCTGTGCTGAATGCCAATAGAAAGAGACGCTCCCTCAGGAGCTTATGATTGAGGAGGAGCAGTGATATATGAACATGGAGAAATTTAAACAATTCAAGATTTATCCCAAGAGTTAACTTTCAAATATAAACCTACTGAACTAACTAGACTAAGAACTACTAAACAGTCTTTCATTATGAAAATCAGTTATCACCAGACTATAACATAGACTACAAGGACAGAAGATAGAGTTGATTTGTATTACTCTTAAAGTTACTTCTAGGGAAATAAAGGTAACCTATCAGCCTTTATCAGTCATTTAACTCTCATAAGCCTACAAAGAAAAAAAAATTCTACTCCCACCTTCTTTCTAGTGAAAAAAAAATCAAAGGATGATTGCATCCTTGGAACATAATCTTTTTTTTCAAATACAGCTAATTAAAAGATCCTACTGCATATTTAAAAAAAAAAACAAAAACCTTAGAGTAGGAACACTGAAATTTCTGGCTCATTTTCTAAAGTGGGAAAATGAAAGAAATTCATACTAAATAGAACAAAGATCATATATTTAAAAGAAACCTCTTCAAATTGAAATTATTTGGGCTGCTAAATTTTAGTCATTTTCAACTGTAAGAAAGTACACTGTCTAAATGTGAGTCTGATAATATAATGGACAAGGCAAATGTAGGCTAAATGTTCAGTTTGAGAAAGGGCCAAGCAGACTGATTAATTGAAAAAGCATTTCCTTCAGACATTTCAGTAGCTGAAAAATTAGACACAGCTGAAATATTGGCTTCATTTGTAAACTACTTAGTTTTTAAACAAATACAAAAGGTGTCATAATATGATTCTATCTTTTCTTTTCATAAGCAAATAGAATGTACCCTGAATGAGACCTTCGATATCAAATGTCATGGAAGACTAATTATGTCCTACTCTATTTAATTCAATAATTTTAGATCAGGAAAGCACTCCAAAGCAAAAACAGTTATCTACAAAAGAAAATGAGGGCAAAGTTCAGAGGTGACAGCTCTGAACCTCAGGTTACATTTAAAAGAGTCTGAGATACATGAATTGAGGACAGACAGGTAAGAAGATGAAGAGTAAATCAGCCCCAACACCTACTTCCAGCCAAGATAGAATAGCATGGACTGAGTTTACTGTCTGAAACAACCAAAAAAACAGAGAGAATATATAAAACAATGGTTTGCAAAACACAGTACATCAGACAATCAAGGAGTAAAACCTGAAAGATGGAAAGCAAATGAGATAAGCCCAACAACTGCCCCAAATTACTATCTTAAGAGTAAATGCAGAGAAGGAAAACCCAGGCAAAACCCAGTAGACTCTTGAGTGAAAGATAATGAGCTGAGACATTAGAATAGGTGGCTAGAGTTCTCAGGAAAAAGTACCAGAAAGGGAAGAGCAGCACAAAGAGAAAACTTCAACGTGCAGAGCCTTCCTTGAGTACTGAGCTGAGTACCAGTCAGTACATACATGTCAGGAAATAACCAACTCGAAGGATTAGAGAAAATGAGGCCAGGAATAGGGTCTGTTCCCACCAGTCAGAATGACAAACCTCATAACGTATAGGGCATTGGGGAGAGGATCAGAAAGGACTTGACTCTGAAATAGGAAATAATGAGACCTAGACTGAGCACTGCTTGTCTTGCCTAACAAATTTAACAGTGAGACCTAAAAGCATCAAACTGTTTCCAAATAATTGAATTCTAAAACAAAGCTCAAGAATATTTATAAGAATAAGAAATACCAAACACACAAACAAGGGAAAATTCACAGTGTATTTTTATGGCAGTACCATGCTGTTTTGGTTACTATAGCTTTATAGTATAGTTTAAAGTCAGGTGCTGTTATGCCCCTGGCATTTGGGGGGGGAGGCGGAATTGCTTTGGCTATTCGTAGCCTTTTGTTCTTCCATATGAATGTTAGGATTGTTTTTTCCAATTCTGAGAAAAATGTCATTGGAATTTTGATGGGGATTGTACTGAATCTGTAGATCACTTTGGGTAGTATTGACATTTTCACAAAGTTAATTCTTCCAATCCAAAAGCATAGGATATCTTTAAATCTTCTTGTGTCCTCTGTAATTCCTCTCAACAGTGTTTTGTAGTTCTCGTCGTAGAGATTTTTCACATCTTTGGTTAAATTTATTCCTAGGCATATATTTTTTTTTTTTTTGGTGGCTATTGTAAATGGGTTAGCTATCTTGATTTTTCTGCCCGTTCATTGTTAGAATATAGAAATGCTACTGATTTTTGTGTGTTGATTTGGTATCCTGCAACTTTGATGAAATCATTTATTAACTCTAAGAGCTTTTTTGTAGAGTCTTTAGGCTGTTCGTAATATATAGGATCATACGGGATCATGTCTCTGCAAACAGAGATATTTTGACCTCAGCTTTTCCAATCTGGATGACCTTTATTTCCTTTTCTTCCCTGATTGCTCTGGCTAGTACCTCCAACACTGTGCTGAATAGGAGTGGCGAGAGTGGGCATCCTTGTCTTGTTCCTGTTCTTAAATGAAAAAGCTTTCAATTTTTCTCCATTCAGGATGATATTGGCAGTGGGTTTGTCATATATGGCTTTAATTATATTGAGATACTTTCCTTCTATACCCAACTTATAGTCTTTACCATGAATGAATGTTGAATTTTGTCAAATACTTTCTCAGCATCTATAGAGATGATCATACGGTTTTTGTGTTTGATTTTATTGATGTGGTGTATCACTTCTATACCCAACTTATAGTCTTTACCATGAATGAATGTTGAATTTTGTCAAATACTTTTTCAGCATCTATAGAGATGATCATACGGTTTTTGTGTTTGATTTTATTGATGTGGTGTATCACATTTATTAATTTGCATATATTGAACCAAACTTGCATCCCACTTGATAATGGTGTATAATTTTATATATGTGTTGCCATATTGTATTAGCTAGTATTTTATTGAAGATTTTTGCACTTATATTCATCAAAGATATTGGCCTGTAGTTTTCTTTTTTTGTTGTATCTTTGTCTAGTTTTATATCAGGTTAATCTTTTCCTCATAGAATGAGTTTGGGAGAGGGGACTCTGTTTCAATTTTTTTGGAAGAGAATTGGTATTAATTCTTCTTTAAAGGTTTGATAGAATTCTGCAGTAAAGCCACCTGTTCTTGGGCTTTTCTTTGTTGGGAGACTGCTGATAACAGCTTCAATCTCTTTGATTGTTATTGGTCTATTCAGATTTTCTACGTCTTCTTGGCACAGCCTTGGTAGTTTGTGTGTCCAATAATTTTTCCATGTCCTCCAGATTTTCAAATTTGTTGGCATATAGTCATTTATCATATTCTCTAATGATGCCTTGCATTTCTGAGGTATCAGTTGTAATATCACCATTTTCATTTATAATTTTTGTTATTTGTGTCTTCTCTCTTCTTTTTTTAGTTAGCCTTGCTAATGGTTTGTCAATTTTATTTCTTTTCAAAAAACCAACTTTTTGTTTCATTAATCTGTTGTATCATTTGTTGGGTTTCTATTTAATTTAGTTCTGCTCTGATCTTAATTATTTCTTTCCATCTACTAACTTTGGGTTTGGATTGTTCTTCTTATTGCTCCTGAAACAATTACAATTGTTATTGTTCCTGAAACAATAAAACTCCTTAAAGAAAACATAGGGGAAACACTCCAGGAAGTAGAATTGGAT